CAGGCAATAGAACAGGCTTCTAGCACCTTCTCAGCCCTTCCACCGTCTGTGCCTTTGGAACGGAGATCCACGAGGATCAAATGGTTGTCAGAACCACCTGGAAACAAATTTGGACACATAGAAATGCAGGCTAATTCTATGCCGTGAAGGAATCTGTGACATGAAGGCAAGGGTGAAGGCGGCCAAAGCAGATGAGGTCAGGAAGGTGAGCACCCCCACCACATGGCCTGGGACTCTTAATGCCCACGAGAGATGTGCGTGCCTAAGAACGTGAAAGGAAGGCTAGAGCACTTTTGAAAGGGGTAACTGATCATACAGCAGAGGGCCTGACATTCCCATTGGGAAGGGACAGCTTCCCCAGGCTGCTCCTGTCTTGTTTCTCTGACACGTTGCTTGGGCATTTCTCTAACATTGATGGTAAAGGCTCACCCCGAAGGCAGCATGCGTATCGGGCAGTGGTTCAAGTTACTTTGTCTGGGGGGTAAGGGGCATGCTCACGGAGCACATTAGGTGCCAGACACTGTAGCCTGTGGTAGGTTTTTCCCGGATCCCGTGAGGCTGATGGTATTATCAGAGTGGTCAGGTGACAACAGCAAGGCTAACAGAGTTTTCTGCACCTGGTCCGAGGTCACACAGGAGGATCCTTCCACTCTGAACCTCCATTAAGCCGGGGTATTGCCTTGGGTGCTGACAGCACTAGGGCCTCTGCTTCTGGGCTGTGTTGCAGGGATCCCTTTGAAGATGCGGGCGAGCTAGGGCTCCAGCTTGGCTTTGCATCCCCCCAGCTGTGCCCACCCACTTGCTGTGTGGCTTTAGGCAGGCAGCTCAACATTGTGAAACCTCAGATGCCCATTTGTAACAAAAACACCAATAATTCACAGGGCTGTCACGAGGTTTAAGTAAGATACCGGACACAGTGCTTCTCACAGTGCCAGGCACCAAAGCGGGCATTCACAAGCATTATCTATTTCAGCCGTGTGCATCGGGGCCTCAGAGGGTAGAGTGACAATGACAAAGTCACCAGGGAGAGGGCAGGCCCATGCCATGAGATGCCCATGGTGACAGGGACTATGGCCTAAACCCTCACAACTCCAAGGGTGGCTCCCAGACCAGCATCACCCAAGACCTGGTCAGAATCTGCATCGTACCAGCAGCCCCAGGGGTGGTGTGCACATCCAAGTTTGAGAAACAAGGACCTAAAGCAGTGGTCCCCAACCTTTTTGGCACCAGGAACTGTGGAAGACAGTTTTTCCATGGATGGCATCGGGGGATGGTTTTGGGATGAAACTTCTGCCTCAGATCATCGGGCATTAGATTCTCAGAAGGATGCAGGTATAATCAGAAGGAAAAAAAAGATAGTTTCTCTAAAGAGGCCCAACCTAGATCCCTCACACATGCAGTTCACAACAGGGTTCAGCTCCTGTGAGAATATAATGCTGCCATTGATCTGACAGGAGGCAGAGCTCAGGTGGCAATGCTCTCGGCCCCGCTCACTTCGTACTATGCAGCCAGGTTCCTAACAGGCCACAAACTAGTACTAGTCCATGGCCTGGAGGTTGCGGACTCCTGAGCTAAAGCACCCTGAAGGTCACAGTCCACATGAGGACTTCTTGGGCTTTGTTATTTGAAGACATGGAGGATGAAGGGAGAACAGAAAGTAAGTGAAGTAGAACATAAAAGAGGGTGTGGCTGGTACTGCTGAGGAGACACCACTGGCCCAGCCTTTCCAGGCGCTGCCGCACACGCAGGATTGGGTGGGAGCCCCACTCCTTAGACCAGGGGTCCTGTGATCCCTGTAAAGGGCAAAGGGCATGGTGCAGAGAGTGGGCACTCAGGTCTACACACAGCAGGACCCACATTCCTGGACCACACCACTGCTAGCACAACCGGCAGTCTCGTGGGACTCGGTATCAAGTCGCCCTTCCTCAGGAGGATCGAGTATGCTGCCCGCCAAAAAGAATGCGCTCTCCCCATGGAAACCTGCAGTGGCTGTGAGGTGGATGGCACCCCACAGTGGGGCCCTGACCTGGGAAGTCCATCTCATTCACAGCCCGCAGCTCCAGAATGTACAGATCCAAACATGGCTATAGCAAGCCAACTCCCCAGGAACATGCAGCAAACTGGGAGGGGACAGTCCGTGCACCCCCAGCTCAGCGGGGTGAGAGAAGACACTCCCATGGCACAGTGCCAGGCATCACCACAGAGTCCTGGCTCTGCCACCTACCGGGTGTGTGACCACTACAGTCCAACCTCTCGTGAGCCTCAGGTCATCCTCCTGCAAAGCTGTTCTGAGGACATGCAGTCCTTATGCTGGTGACCAATGATAGCCACTATTCCCAACATCTGTGGCTCACCCAAGGGGGCAGCTGGCTGGTCTGAGGCAGGGGGAGGATTTCCAGCTGGAG